GGATCGGACTGTCAAAATGAAGACGTTCACACGGTGGCTGATGATTCTTGATAATTGCATTGGTGTTGCGACCGGAAGTCATCCTCGGATTCATCCACTTCACATCCTGTTCACTCACAAATATTTCTCAGTATTCTCAAGACCCCAGTATTTGTAAGAATAAAATCTCCGAGGGGGTCTGCTCACTGACAGCAGAATAGGACGTGACACTCTGAAAAAATTGCATTAGTGGACCACTGATAGTAAGTATCACGGCAGACATGACACAATTTATCAAGGTGGGAAATTGTGTGTGAATGTCGACTGATTTCTTACACATGTGACAAATATTTGCAACTATGGCATTTCATGCTGAAAATGTATCACTTCCGGCTATCCGGCGTAATCCGGCGGATTCCGCCGGACCACGCAGGTCCAACCTTCATCACTTTGGCTGTGAATGTGAACTATTTGCGATTTAAATGCTACATTGGCAAACCTTTGCCGCAAATGTAAGACATCAGTCGACATTCCCACACTATTTTCCACATTGATAAATCTGCTGTGTATCCTATCCTATGCGTTACCTGTGCGTTAGTTGACTTTGATCGACATACAGTCGTGGACAGCCAAACACGACAATTTTAAGAAATATTTCTAGAATGTCCGATATGTATCAGAATCGATCTGGATTGATGAGGGGGTGTCTGTAAATAAATTTGCGGTGAATCCTGTGAACTGTTTGCCTGCAAAAGGTGATTTTGTGACCCAGAATTCCTCAAAAATTTGGTGGACCCCCAAAAACAGGCCTAAAAATCACATAAAATACGCCAATCGACTCCTTTTGAGCTCCTTTATATCATTTTATGGAAAGTTCACCAAAACCAACAATGAAAATTGGGCAAACAATTATGCAAGTTGGCCATTGTGACTGGGGCTCGTGACCAACAAGTCATATATTATGGTGCATGGTCACAACAAGGCTCGCACATCTAAAAACATGTCTGGGCTATACAATCAAACAACAGCTCTAGCTCCTTCTAACCCTTCTCTACTGAAGACTCTAATGATAATATGTTCCAATCGAGGCAGTTTTGAACAAATAGTACCTGATCCACGTGTCTGTAGCCGAAAAACATTCAGATTTTCGACCAAAAATTTGGCGGATGCCAAAAATGCACGAGAAAAATACAAAGAAAGTGTTTTTGGACGTTTCTCGACATTCTGAGTCTGAATCTGCAGTCAAAATCGAAAAGTAACGAGCCGTTCAGGCGGAATAAATGTATTTTTATTTTTGTCGACTTTGGTTGTCCGCGACTGTACACGTATATGGCAAGCGGATTTTTTGACATCATGTTAAAAACATATACGGATTTTTATCTGCCGAACGCTATTTTCGAGATCCCATGGTGGACATACTCTGCGTGCGTTTCCGAAACCATTAATCTGCTTTGCTGCTGGCGCTCGCGAGACGAACTGGCTGGTTCTCTGACATCAAGCGATGCTATGGAACTCACTGCACCGTGGCGCTTGGAGTCGACACCCGACGAGACCTCAATGCAGACTTTATGCCACCGGTAAAATTCCTGACTATCACTCGAAAGTCAATTGTCAGTGGCCATCCCATATCGTTTACCGTCACAAGGCAAAATGACAATAATGCTTGCAGTCCTTATTTTCGGCGTCGACAGGGAAGCGGCTATGCGCAAAATGTGCTTAGCAATGTCAGTGAGATGCCGGCATCGAAATGTGTTACAGGCTCTCGGAGATGCATTATCCTTTCAGTCAAATCCTATCCGAACCAAGCCGCTTCTTGTTGACTTTCCCGGCCAGCCCGCTGCACGGCCAGGAGTTCGGGAGTCACCCACTCTCTTAAAGATGGCTCCACGGGGCCAAACCGATGGCCCGTCCCATTGTAGCCGTGCTCTATTATATACACGCGTGCTACTATTCTCCCACGCTGGTGGCGCAGGTCACACCGGGGCCTCTCGCATCTGCGCTCTGTGCCCAGATTCCAACATGCCCCCTCGACCTAGCCACTGCTGCATCAATCCCATTGTGGGCCACACGCCTGTACCACACTCCCTGTCTCCAGGTATGCCGGTCTCCGTTCCATGTGCTTCCCTGCCCGCCTCGGTTCGTACGCCAGTCCCAGCGCCCCCTGATCTTGGGTCCCGGTCTCTGTACCATACGCATCCCGTACGTGCCCATTTTCGGTGACTTCCTATAGCGCCCTCACGCGCTCGTCGCTCGCTCGGTCTGCACGCCAGTCCCGATGCCCCTTGGATTCGGGTCTCGGTCTCCGTTCCGTGCACGCTCCGTGCAAGCGCCTCGCTCGGCTTTTCTTCGGCGCTCCACGTGCTGTGGCTGTGCCGCTTCGTCGGACTGCCGGCCTGTCTTGCTCGGCATCCGCTCGGCCTGCCCTTTGATGCCCTGCTCCGCCCTCGCCTCGCTGGTAGGCCCGCCTCGCGCAGTGCCCGCCCCCTGCACCTGGTGTCTTGTATCACCGCAGCGGCGCCCCGCGGTCAACCCTCTGGCCCTCACCCTCCTGCCCTCGACCTCCTGATCCCACCTCTGCCCAGTCGCACCTGTCCCTCAGCTGCCCTGCAGCCTTCACACCTCGGCGACCTGCCCCAGCTCCCAGCCCTTGACCTGCCAACTGGATCACTCACCAGTCAGCGTCATGGTCCCCAGCAGGAACCTCGTAGTGGTGGTTCTCGTCGATTGCGGTGAGTGCCTCTTGGTCAATGGTGATCGGTTTGTGTTGACTTTCCCGGCCAGCCCGCTGCGCGGCCAGGAGTTCGGGAGTCACCCACTCTCTAGAAGATGGCTCCACGGGGCCAAACCGATGGCCCGTCCCATTCACCGCGTTTAGCGCTCCTGTATCCAGGGTTCGGTGTACCTATACATAATTAAGCTGTGCAGGTGTAAACAGAGGTAAATTTACGTTAGATAAACCGACTTCGTGTACCTACCGAGAATCTGAATACACGGAGGTATGCGAATGCACGTACCAGTCATAGCCAGGCATCCGTGTACATGTGTAGCCAGCCCCTATGCTCAGCATGGTGTAGAGGCCAAAAGTTCACATGTGTGTACCCGAGTGTAGGTCATATATTTACAGGTTAATCTACATTTGCGTAGCAAGACCACGGCGCTAGCGCCCGATTACCATTCTGGGACATTTCGCGCCCACGTGATATGAATACCGTGCGCGCCACAGGCGCATACACCCACTCGCTCCTCGTCGTTTGCACATTCCACTGGTTTTTCCATCATGCCGCTACGAGGATGGCATCCATCCTATCCACCTCCACCTACTGGTCCACCAGCAACTCTCCCGGGGGCTCCAGTACACCCAGAAATCCAAACAAGTGTGACCTTTTTTCACCAATATCAGCTTTTTGCTGCCGAATTCCAGAAAAACACACCTCTAGGCATACCTATTCCATCCATACAGCAGTTCGCAGAGTTCCAGGGCATGCTCTCAGGTCATATTCCTCATCAACAACCCCTCGCAGCCCCTGCAGTCCCAGCAATTCAACCTCATCTTGACATGCAAGCGGACATTGCTCAGCTGCGTAGAGAACTACAGGAGATGAAGGATAAAGCAGGTAGACAGCATGAAGAGAACGAAGGGACAGATAGCGAGAGTGACGCACCTGTTACAAAGCATCGCAGAAAGACATGCAAGTCTGTCACAGCCAAGAGGATCTTGAGCCTTGAGAAGGGGAATCTGTCGAAAAGGCAAGCGGAAGTGCGTGAAGAGCTTCAGGTGCAATCACACTTCTAACTTGATATGTACATCAGCTAATCTTGGATGAGCGTAGGAAGCAGTCATTGGACATTTAAAGACACTCACTGGCCTTCGTCGCAATCCTTTTCCATTGCAAGGAGACGTCAATGATGAGAATGATGATGTTGATGGTTCGGCGCAGGATAAGCCGAGCATGGAATTCAATTTTGATGAGACTGTGACATATGAAGAGAACGCCGCGATCATTCGTCACATTGCAGATTTAGTGTACAAGGAACAGACGGTGCGCACCTTTTCAGCTTTCTAAACACGTCAACGATATTTAATGAGTATTCTAGAATGATGTTTCACGCACGATAACGCATCCTGATGTCAATTTCACGAAGCGCGACTTAGAAGAATTCGCTAAGACACGCTTTCGCACCTGGAAGAGGGCTTACCAAGCACAAAAAGATGAACTCAAGAAAGCGGCGCAGTTGGCAAACCAGGCACGCAATAGACGGCGTAGACGGCAGGAACAGGTTCGTTGCAATAATATAGTCATTTAACTGCACTAAAAATCTCAGTAAAGCTCAAACAACTGCGTGGTACAGCTGTCAAGGCGTACCAGAAGAGGTTCAAGGTTGACCCAAGTCCAGTCCTTCTCACCGACTGGATGAGCGAGGCATGCAGTGACTGGAGTGACGAAGAAGAAGCTCGAGATGTTCATCGACAGCTGCTTGCCACAAAGGCTGGACTCACCCAGGAGGAAATTGAGGAAGGCGTTAAGGTACTTGAGCGGCGCTCGCTGGCTTGGCGGTCTGGTCAGGTACATTTCGAAGATATCTAGAAGAGTATGCATATGATTGATCTTTTGACATCACTAGCTGTGCAGCGTGCTTGCGAAGCTCGATCAGATTGTGCAAACGAAGCGCAAGGGACAGGGAAATGCACCAATCAAGATGAAACGTGTTGACCTCCAGCGACCATGCACAGGGGTACCACCCAGCAAGATCTATCCATTCGCAATCAGCATGGCATGGGTAAAGGAACATCCAGAACTTATGGATGAGGTTAGGATGTTCAAGAAGAA